GAGAAGGCTAGGGGACAACCACTGAAGCATTTATATACCTTTAGGACGGACTCAGGGCTCTGAAACCCTGAGAAATGATATGGACTCACCTGGCGAGGCCGCTCCAGAGACCGCGTAAAACAGAATCGTACCGCGTCCCAGGGTAATTAAGGAAGAAAAGCCTGCTAACAGTCAGTGTTTTAACTCTGACCGAACCCAGTGAATACCCCCCTCAGAAAATGATCCTCTATATATATATATTTTTTTCTTTCAGGGGTGTTGGGTCAGGCGTCTTATTTTTGCTTTTTACTGTATAATTTGTAGGTAATATTATTTTAGTCTTAAGGTCATAGTATTTGCTTGTTTTATCAATATACAGCCTGTTGAGATCTGTTTTATGATGAAATTTGTGTTAAACAATAAATATTATTATTATTCATTATTATTATTGCTAAGAGAGTGAAATCCTCTATGAAAAGAAGTACTGGAGTTCTTTTACTTGCTCTAAAATGTGGACTGAAATCCAAGCCAAGGTGCATTAAAACTGCTACAAAAAATTGACATCAGATGAAGGCTCTCATGGTGGCAGTAAGCATAGGCACGCCCACAACTACTATGATTTTTGTCTGGTATAACAAAGCAGACATCGTACCGGTATTAATTAACTTAACCATTATGGCCGTCGGGGTCTTGGTAAATACCATTTTGCAGCGGTGCTGGTTCTATTGTTAAGTTTAGATTAACTTTCCAGATTAGAAAAGCACGAGGCCAAAATGTGACTGACTCTGTCCCAGGGGTTGTCTGCTTTCCGCATACATGGCGACCCCATAGGGGGACTCAGCGACGCCGCTCAGGGGGAGTTTGCGCTCCAGCTTCCCCGTCTTTCTGTTGACAGCGTGGAGTTCCGCCGGATTCCACTGCGTCCAAAAGAGATAATCCTACATTTTGGCAAAGACACGGTGAAAAAAAAGGAATGTATCACTTTATCTCCTGCTGGAAACTAATTGTTTCCTTTTGTCTTACAGAGATATTTCATAAAAGGACAAAATAAACAGGTACCATAAGATACTGCTCCTGCTGAAAACTAATTGCTTCCTTTTGTATTACAGAGATATTTCATGAGAGGACAAAATAAACAGTTACCATCAGATACAGCCATCGAAAGTTTAAAAAAATGTTCCCCCATATCTGATCACAATACAAGTATTAGTCAAAAAAGTGATTATTTGAGTGCTTATGGCAGAACGTCATAATCAACCAGGGAATTCATCTTACTGGTTACAATGTTATTTTTTCAAGTTTCCAACGACCAGATATAATCTGTAAACTTGCAGGTGGTTTGCTTGGTCACCTTGGCATACAATACACAGATTGACCTATGGTCGTTGCTCGACCTTCCCCAACATTTTACAGTGAATGTATTACGATCGACGGACTATGTACACAGGGCGTCAAGAAAGTATCCTAGGAAGTATACCAAACCTTGTAGAGGGCCAGGCCCGTAAACATGGCTTCCCTCTTGGCATAAACCGTCCGCCAATCTCTGCCGGAATAGTCAAAGGTTCGTATCGTACCAGTGCCTCTTTCTGCAAGATACAACCTGCCAAAAATACACTTTAAACGGAAGTGAACAAGACACCAGACCGGGGAAAACTACATTATACTGACCATCATTACTGTTCCTTATTGACCCTCAGCAGAAGCACCCCTCATCGGTTGAAAAGAGTGATATTGGTCGAAAGTATTCATGTTGTTGATAGCGATTTGACTGCAACGCTGCACTTGCGTTTCATAGTCGTTCGTGAACCAGCGACGCGCAGTTACCGAGGGAGCTGCCTTTGCTAGGAAAATTGCGCCCTCTCTTAGTCCAGCTCTGTGCCCATAGATGTACATGGTAAGAACTGCACACCTCAACGATTGCTGGTTAAACTTTAACACCATCAATGGCTATTATTCTTTTGGTCAATGCCCACCTTTTGCTGTTGTAGTCCAGCGCGATGCCGCGTGGCTCCATCACTTCACGGAGGATCACTATCCGACTGCTGCCGTCCAGACCGGCTCGCTCCAGCTGTGATGCCCCGGAGGTCAGGTAAGTCCAGAAAATAAATCTGCAAGGGAGTTGTATGCAAGCCACTTTACTACAGCCGGCAAATTTGAATAGATGCACGTCTATGGAAATGGATTTAGTGGCATTAGCTAGTGGCTCCCAGAAGCGAATGCTCTCTTTACCTCTCGTGGGGGTCCAAGGCAATGCTCCCTGGTTGGTCCATGTCGTCACGGAGGAGAATCTTTCTGTGTCGGCCATCGTATGTCGCCATAGCGATGTGGTTCAAGAGCGAATCAGTCCAGTACAGCAGTTTAGCCAACCAGTCGACGGCCATGCCTACCAGAACAACAAAGCGCTCAAATTCAAGCGTTTTAAGAAGACGCGTACCAATTTGCTGAGTAATTGTATTTATTGCATAGTTTTCAGACATTGCAACATGAGAATAGTGAAGGTCTTTTTAAAGGTTGTAGCTGATTAAAGTGACCTATATCTTTCGAGTCATTATTTCTCCAAGCGAAATCAGAAACGCAAAATACCAACAAACTTCATAAAATATTGAAACATATACAGTACCTTGTTTAGGTCTTCATTTGTTCTTTGTAGTAGTTAAAATTAAAGGCAAATCTAAACAGAGGTGCATATTAGCTGGCGGCGAGCAAAGATGACCTGTATTTTACACAACTATACGAGGCAAAAGTTTGGACAGGAATTTTTCAAACTAACCGCCTGCTAAACCGACTTTCATGGCTTTACAGTGCCTTTCAAACCAGTGAGGAACGTCAGTGTGAATGGTTATTTGCAAGGCTTACCGTGAACCGCACCCGTCCCACCCACGACTGTCACAACGTTCTCATTGTTCCTCAACCTCACACTATACAAAGTGCCACCCTCGCCAAGCAGGCTGTAGAACAGCCGGCTGTCTTGGACGTCAGTAGTCATGGCAGTGGCCTCGGGCAAGTCTCGAAGGATGCACTGGCCGGGGCCCGTCCCGCCGGCGCCGCTGAGGGGCATGTCTGCGACGTTATCTGGGTACATGCAGATGCTGTCTCTGGCCACGACGAAGAGCTTGGGCGGTGGGATCTGGACATCTGAATCTTAGTAATTAAATAAAGACACCATTTAGAAGCGATAATGAAAATCGACCAAGAGTTGAAACAGGCCTGTCTCATGTTCCACTTGAGAATAAAATGTACAAAAAATTTCATATATATTTGCCAATGATCTGTTCTATATACCTGCTTGTCGTAAACAACAGTAAAATACTCATTTCCCAAGCACTGTTCTCTAAATTTGTTGAAAAATTGGTTAGCGTCGAAAGAAAATGCCAAGTCTTCTTTGGCCAGCTGACAGGCCTAGGCATACGACTGTCAGATCTCAGCAATGGTGCATTTAAATGTTGTTAAAAGCTCTCTATTATCGATCGAAATATATTGTGGTAATTTCCTGCTTGCTAGACACCACCTTGAAACAAAGTCATCTGTTTTTCGAAATTAGGCCCGCTTGTATTATGAAGTGCGTATTACTTGTCCCCGAAGGCACTAGCATTTACTTTGCCCAATATTGCAAAGCAGATCATCAGGTCTCGTACAAATTACTGGGGTGTGACTTGAAATGCACATGGGTGTATGAGAAATGCATGAAGCCGCTAGTGTCCAACCACATCCAAGTAATATGGCTACGGCCAAAGTAATTCAATAACAGAACAGAATGTCAATGGCTGTGTTTACTTTGCACAGGTTTGTTACAAGTCAGTGCCTGAACTCACTATTCCTAGCATGGTAGCATGGTATCGGATTCAAGGTGCGTGTATTTTAACCGTTTTGACAGCTAGAGCGGCACCACACCTACCACGGACGCACGTTCCATCCTCCACAGCATGGTACCCGAGTTGACATAAGCATCTATGCCTGTGTTCGTCGGTGCTTACACAGAGATACTCGCAAGGGTTCCTGTCACACCAAGCTGGAAATACAAAACATACCTCAAAATGAAAAATAATAAATTGATTTTCTGTAGCAGGGACCCTGTGTAATAAGTCCAAACCAAAGCTGTTCATATTCACTGGCTTTTCGTATTTCGCAAAAAAAAAAGGTAAACACAATGGAGATGGTGAAACTGCTGTAAATAACACTTCTTAAAAAAGGAGACTGAGAACTTAATTACTCAAGCTTTACACTTGAGGGTTCATTGCGTCCCTTTTAGAGCCCCGGAACACAAATTAACCTAGAAATTACTGACATGACTCAAAGACGTAGTTGTTGTCGGCGAATGAGGTAATGCCAAATGGTCTTCGCACTCCAAGATTGAAGCTGAAATAGTGAGCCATGCCTGCATCCTTCTGATAGCAATGCAGCTGGTTAGTGGAGTCCGTCACGTACAGGTATTCCTGAAACAGAGAGAACAAGACCCGACAATCTGTTTTTGGTCAAGATTTTTACCCACTGCAGGGTTTGGTCGTGGCTAGCAGCTATCATAGAATAAAGTCATATAGCCCCGAGAGGCATAGCCTGTACATTTGAGGGCCATGCCTTTATAACGTCACAACCCGATTTTAATCGGGAAGAGCTAAGCACACATAGACTGGAATGCCAGGGCAGATTTCGTGACACAATATCCAATTAGTTTTACAAACGGTGAGTCCTAGTGTGGCATATGATTGCAATAGCAGTGTTTGGTACAGGTTAGTAAAGAGAAAATAACAAAAATGTTTGGAAGTAAAACAGGCAATTTATACAAATGTCATTTTTATTATTGATTTAGGACTAGATTTGGGATAGTCCATAACGGCAGATTTCCCAGTAAGTTTTAAGCTTTATTGATTTAGGACTAGATTTGGGATAGTCCATAACGGCAGATTTCCCAGTAAGTTTTAAGCTTGTGGAGTCGGGCCTTTGCCATAAACTAACAACGGTTAGTTACGCGAGTTCGTACCCCAGTGCAGATAATTTTTCCGTGCTTGCACAGCTGGAAACGCGCACTCCGTCTTTCCTGAGGACGACCAGAGAATCTGGTCGAAACGTCCAGTTAACACTCACTGGTCCTTCTAAGAACCACCACTCTTATAGAAGAAATTGATTTCACGCAGTGTACCCAAAAACCTTCTCTTAGTCTAGCCTCCACCATGCAAAGTTTCAAACCGTACTTGGCAATGCTCGTGTCATTTACCTTAAATATAGTCAGGTCATTGAACACATACTGGTTGTAGTCTACGCGAACATGCTCCATCAGCGATTCGCCGTCGATCGAAGCAGAGAAGATGGAGCTTGTGCCGGTTGGGCCATGTGCCGTCCAGTACAGCCTGCTTAAACAACAGATAATGCAGGTTTTAACAGTTAACAGCGAAAAGGACAAAGAATCGGCTGTCAAAATAAAATAAATAGAAGAACTGTCATACTGACAAGAGTATGGGTGGTTTTAAGTGGTGACTTTATAGTGAAAAGACCTAGAATACTTTCTTAGCAGTCCAATGTTCTAATTTTGTCAGAATAACTGTATTCCTACCATTTTGTGGCACCCTAGAACTTGTCAGCAAGACAAGTTATTGTTTCTTTATATTCACCGAGTCCGTATTGCTGATCAGATGTGACAAGTTTTATAAGAGACCTGTCTGATTACTTGGGTGCGGCTGGAAACAACGAAATTCATGAAGCCGCTAGTTAGCGACTTCCATAGCTATACTCTATCTCAAGCCGCAGCAAAGTCGTTTGACATTAGTCTCATTCCCGTGCATTCTCCGACGAGTGAACTCTCTCCGTTTTTCCCTGTAATTCAAAGTGGTGTTCCCATACCTATCGTGCGGATAGTCCACAGTGATCCCCACGGGGTAGCCGGCCTCGGCACCGATTAATACCCGGCGATCCTGTCCGTCGAGTCGGCTTCGTTCGATCCTCGACTTGCTTCCCTGATCTGCCCAAAACAGCCACCTGCAACACACAAGGTAAGAGCAAGAAGTCGACAACTGCTTCTAACGCAATCATGTCCAGCACTCGCACGCATAACGTTTAGCAGTAAACATCCCTTTGGCGGTTGTGTTTTTTTTTTTAATCCATGTGTAATTTTTCAAGTCTTATTTGGCAACGAATGGCAGTTCATAAATCATTTAGTACCGTAATGAGCCTCCACCTGGATGGAGAGAAGGCGCAGTTTTCTTAGCAATGGGGGCTCCTTTGGTTGGAACCACAGTTCGTCGGGTTCACCACGAAGTGACGTATCGTGGATAGTTGCCGCACCACGAAGTGACGTATCATGTGTACAAAGTCTATGGACGGTACGTCACTTCGTGGTGCGCCAGAACTATCCTGTACGTGACTTCGTAGTAAATCTCCATGACCCGACACACTGATCTCCGATATAAAGTCTTTAATAATGTAGATCAACGATCGGAACTACATATCGCTGATTCACAAATGCCTATGAAATGCACACGTTACGGTCGCGTCGCTATTAACAAAATGAACACTCCTGACCAGAAAGTCCCCTTCAACCGATGAGGGGGTGCTTCTTGCCATCCTATGGTTGCCATAGCCAACAGTGATAAATACCCGAACTTCAGAAATCAGGAAATATACTCACAAATTTCTCAGGCGTTTGAAACACACGTCAAATTCAAGCCCAGTTTATGATTTTTCATTTTCTTTTCAAATTTCTATTCATTTACAGATGACTTCTGAAGGTATTTACGGTATTTCCACGTTATTTTCAGGGAGGGTCGTCCCTAAAATGCAGTCTTGAAGTCTTATTTGGAAATATCGATGCCTACAATTCTCGAAAAAAAGACCGTTTTCAGGCACTGATTTCTTCCAAATCTCACTGGTATTCTCTTAGCCCGCCTAAACCTGTCTTTTCTACAAATCTTCAAGTACATGGGCCACAAAATGCTCTATTTCGAAGAGAATTTGGGTGCATACAAATTGCGATTAGGCCGGCGCAAGCAGTTTTCGGCCTATTTTAATACTGGCCTGCATCCTTTAGTGAACCCCAGTTTTTACAATTTTCCCGAAAACGTGTAAACAGAGGGAAAACTTTTCAACTGCTGGAAATAATCGCTTGTGACTGCAAACTAAGGTTAATATCTGTTGATTAGGGTTAGGTTTGGCCAACTATAGGTTCGAAATTCGCACACAGGGTTTGCCCTTGTCCCGGGGGGGGGGACGCAGTACAGTACTCATGTTTTGAAAGTCAGACTCTATGCTGGACCAATCAGACCTTTGAGTTTCAAAATTTGGGCAAGCAGCCCATCACTCTCCTGTCTTGTAATGCCACATTACATCCAGCAGTTAAAATATTTGAACTGGCCAAAGGTTTCCAGGCAAGCCAGTGGTAGGTTCCCCCTCCATCAGGCTTGCACATAGAGATGAAGTCACTACATGGTGCTAACGTAAGAACAATTTCCTCTGTAATTATACGTTTTTATAATAAAATAAACGATTCCACATTAAAAACATTACACACGCACGAGAAAAGGATGTATGGAAAAGGTGTATTAAAGGATGCACCTTTAATACACAAAATATTCGGGTGAATACAGTAATTTTGACTCATTCATTTCGATGTAAATGCTGATTGGACTTATGGGAATGCAGCTATCAGAACAACATTAATAATAAAACTCTACATTAGAAATTAAAATTGAAGTAGCATTTTTTCGATATCTGTTCCGATTAAAAATCTCAGAAATACTTTTAAAACGGAGACAAATGCAAATCTAAACAAAAAGAAGAGCAAAATAAAAAATTATTTAAAATAAATATTTAGAACAATGTAAAAGAAAACCGTGAAATAAAGAGAAGCTGCAACATGATGGTTACAGTTTTATGGGGGAAAGACTTCCAATTTACCCTTGGGAGGGATGTACAACGATACCACTCGGCTCATCCAGACCGTCTTCCACCAACACCCTGTGTCTGGAACCGTCGTAGTTGCTCACCATTATCCAGTTGTAGGCTGCGTCCGTCCAGTACACGGTCCGCGCCAACCAGTCCACAGCCAGACCAGCAACCGCCGACGAGGTACCGCTATACAGAGGTTCAGCGACGAGCGTGTCCCCGCTCATCTCACCATGCCAGACGAGCTTCAGCTTCGGGTCGCTCCAGAAGAAGTCCCGGTTGTGGTAGTCGACGGCCAGAGCAGACCAGTTGGCGGGCCGGTACTTGAGCATGGTATTGGTGACGATGCTCCCGGATGACAGGTAGTCGGCGGGATCGGCCGGGAGAGTCTGCAGTTTGGCCATGGAATCTGCTAGGTTCTGCTCCAGCCAGACTATAACAGGCGCATCTGGAGCGTCTACTCGAACTGATGACAAACAAGTAAAACGACGAAAGGAAAACATCTGATATGATAGGTGCGGATCCAGATTAGGCCAGAGGGGTGGGGGTAGGGATATCATGAGGGGTTTAACCGGTACCGGTATGTCTGATATTCTCCTTTCTTTTATCTTCCAATTTTGAGACAAAGACCCCCAGAGAAAAAAACTTCACCCAACACCCAATCAAGGCTTAAGTTCTTAAGAGTGAATTGTTTCCAATGAAACTTGAAACAAGAAGTGTAGAGAGAAATCATTCGATCGAATAGACTCGATTTCCAACGCGGCATTTTTTTTCAAACACTTTCGGGGGGTTGTCATCCTTCCTTTCAGCTAAGGGCCTGAATTGCGTAGGACGCAGCTACAACGTGGTCGAGCCATTATTTAATCACGGAACATAGCCCTACAGAGATCGAATATGTTTTTTTGGGAGGAAAGAAAACCAGAAATCCTAGAGAAAATCCCTAGCTGCACATGAAAGAACCACCGAGACAACTCGATTCACATATGGTCCAAACCGGGAATTGAACCAAGGACTACAGTAGTGAGAGAGGAGCGCTTTGCGCACAAGCCACCTGTGCCACAACGGGGGGCTTTAGTATCGTGAACTTGGACTGTTTGAAAGTAGGAAATCTGACTTTACAACCTCCAGTGAATTGCATTTTTCTTTATAAAACAACATCTCACACCAGCATACTATATACACAGCGATTTTATACAAAAGTAAATAAATAAATTGCGCAAACTTAGAACTATCAGGCCTTCTTTGACATAATGACGCAATTATTAGGGTTTTTTTCTCCTGTGGAATAAAATTGTCACCACTTCTCTTCACTGGCTTTAGAATGTTCAGTAGAATGGAAAGAAGTCAGCGACATTCACCACTCAAATTTGGTTGACAGTACGGTGAATTTCTCTCAGTAGTGACGGGGCTTACCTGATTGGTAAAACACGCTGAACCCCGCCCCGCCCAGACTGCCGTCCGTGACGAACAGCACGCGCAGCACGCTACCCGTGGACAACACCGGGGGAGGGAGGGCTTGATCCCGGCCGCAGTAGACGGTTGAGGAGGCGGTCTCACTTTCCCCGTCTTGGATGATCTTGACATAATCGGCTCTGTTAGTTGAAAATGGAAGAACACTCGCTTGTGTCAAGCTTTAATCTAGACTGTATCCTTCTCCTTGTTTTTATGATATCACAAGCCGTTTTCAAACAGTGTCCAAATGTATCAAACTGTTGGCAGTTTTCAGTGGCGATAAGGAGATCACTTTCCTTTCCAAAGTCTGAAACACAAAAGAGTTCTTCTGTTGTAACACTGTAGGCCTATTGTATTAGATACACCCTTCCAGAAAGTGGGCAGCAAAAGAAACCCCATATTACATGTACCATACCCTACTTGTGCCACACACTGTATAGAATTCGTAGACTTCGTTAAGTAAAAATAATTTGGTAAGCACAGAAATGATGCAGATTATCCACTGAGATAACTCATTGTACAATAACTTTCTTTCACTTTTCATCAAAAGAAAAGGCAGTAACACTGTGGTCATGTGCAACAGACAAACTTTTCTGAATGATTGGACAGTTCTTTGAAATAAGCAAGAGAATGACCAAAACAGATCTCACTGGCAGTGGTCGCTGAACTGCAGATCGAAAGTCGAGAAAACGAGCCTCACACGGCGACTCTTAGGCGTAACGATGGTCCAGCCACACCGTAGATTGTCAGGGTACCGACTAGGGACACCTGCAGGCTGAATAGGCGACGAGATGACCCCCGACCCGGCACGGAGAACTCCGCCGCATTGCGAGGGAGACGAGCTGTTGCCACTATGGAGAAGTGCTCGTCCCGGTGAGATTGATCTGCAAAAGTCGTTGAAACCTTTACATAAGGCGACCGCAGCAACCGCGCGTGGCAAGCACACAGCTCGAGAAAAAAAGACTAGCGGATGCGACTAAAAGTCACGGGGACTGAATCGTGTGTTATATATTCTTTACTAAAGCACAATGATGCTGTGCGTATAGACTAATAAGATGCATGAATAATTACAACATTCGCCTTGAACTTAAGGCTAGAGAAGTTTATGTAATGTCAGAAATGGAAAGGGAGACAACTGACATTCCAGCAAACACCAAATCGTCGGCCCAGGCCTGGCCCAGAGGTGGGATGATCCGGCAAGGGTTTGCTCAGCCATAGAGCTGGGTTTGTAGCTCCATGGCTCAGCAGTGCCGGTCCTATAGACCATTGATGACCCACTGCTGGCACTGTTTCATATACCATAGAAGCTGGTGCCAGGTTTGGGTCAGGGTTGGGCCAAGTCCAGGCATAAGTAGACGGTACGAAAGAGATGGAAGGGCCATGGAATTACCTCCTTACCCTTTACAAAATGGAGCTATATAACCACAAAACAATAGCTACTGAAATAGCGTTTGAATTAGGTAGACATAGACTTCTGCAAGGAATGTTAGAGGGTCTAGAACCTCTGTTGCCTCATCATAGATATCGTCGACACTCATAAGTAACTAATGTGAACTCAGCAAATAGTGGGATTTTAGATTTTAGGGATTTTAGAACCAGCTCTGAGTCAACCAGCTGCCAGTTCTAGGCCACCACTGACATACCACATCTGGCCAAGGTCTGGCCCGGGTGAGCTGTAACTGACCTGACCCAGTCCCGGTAGCAGTAGGCCCAAGGCTAGCTGGAGTTGGGCCAGCTGTGGCAAGTCGGGCTTGGGCCAACCTTTTCAGCCTCGTCCAGCCATCCCTGGGCCACCTTTGGGCCATGACTCCAATTTGGCTGGGATGCTTTGGCGTATCCCTTCCCCCATGTTTTGGAACGGATCTTTCAAACCTTGTAAACCTGAGAACATTAGGACTACTGCAAAGTAACAACTTTGGAATTTATCAGTTAACGATGACATTTTCTTTGAAACCCTTCTGCGCCTTTAACAACTGGTCTGGTTTTATTTCTAGTTCAGTCGAACCCTAAAGAGCCGGGGTGGAGTCCCCCCCCCATTGTCCCGATACTGAGGTCGTGAATTCTTTCACGCACCGAACCGTGAGGAGTTTATCTACTAATATCTAGCGTTCAGTTTGACATCAGTATTTGTGGAAATGGGACTCATCATTCTTTCGACACTTAATTTTTTTTTCCGAGAGAAGTGGACTTCTCGCGTATCCAATGCACATGGGCCGATTCTAGTAAAGCCGACATCGAACTTCAAATGACTTCAACAACGAGTACTTCAGATTGAATTGAAACTTCAGAGATGTATACATGTACCCTCATAAAGAAATATTTTATTTCTGTAAACAACGTATGGAACATAATTCTGACAAGGTTTAGACAAAAGAAAGTCAAAGCAGTCTGAGCCTTTAAGGGGGTTTTCATCCCGAAGCTTCTACATATTGCAGTAGAGAACATTTAATTAAAGACATCTTTCCCATTCAGGATTCTGGCACTGGTAGCGCACGTTTTTGGCACGTTTTAGAATGTGTCATGCAGTCACAACATGAAATTTCCGGGACTTTCCATTTGGCAAGTCCAGGATACTTTGGAGGAAACGAATCACAAATCCACCAAACAATGTTTGGAAAGGACCAGTGGTTTACTGGTTGTTGATAGAGAACGCTGGCCTTCCAATGATGCAATATTGCCATGAACAATTAACGGTTTCAAGCAAAGAAAACTAGTTTGCTCCTTGAATCTGACCACATATAAAGGAAATCTTTGTTAGCCCAAGGACAACATTAGCTAGTCTCCACTGCTCTTACAGGACGCTGGAAGCGTTGTGTTACGTACTTTTTGTCGAGCATTCACTGGACACGGAACTTCATTCGAACAGTAACAAGGGTCAACACGTCCATGTGCACATGTATGTCGCAAAGAGTTTATTAGAATCAGTAAGTTTTGCTACTCGAGTAGAGTCGAGCCATAGTGACTCAAGTCGAGTCGAATCCAGTCATTAGGTAAAGAAATCGAGTCGAGTCCCAGCGAGTAGTCGAGTCAGGTCAAGTACTCGGCTCAAGTCAATTTGAGTCCCAATTATTTGAGCACAATGAAATAAACAAAAGAGGACAAGTCTTTTTCTTTTATTTTTAAGATTTACATCCAGGCTACCACAACTTTCTTTAAACTCTTAATGACAATAAGAAGGGGGTGGTAGCTGACCGCCATCCAACTAATAGATGCACAATTTAAACCAAGTAACATCCTGTATACACAGACTTCTGTGAGTGGTTTACACGCACGTACATATATGGTTTGACTGCAGGAAGACGAAATGTGAAAGTAGAAACTTGTCTCAATGTCTGCAAGTGGAGCCCGATATGTCGTATGTTGTACCCTGGAGGACAGACCATGAACGGTCGCTATAGTGTAGACATGTGGTATACTATACGACATGACGTGAACACTATAAACCAGCACCGTACGTCGTTGCAAATATTTTTTTTGTCACAAAGAAGTTTGGTTTTGCTTTGAGACACAAGTCTCTGCTTTCACTCAAGTCGAGTCTTCTGATGTAGGGCTGGAGTCATTTTGCTTGCAATGAATTGGGACGCGTCATCTACCCGCTGGGTCGAGCCCAGTCATTTATTTTACCCGTCGGAACTAGAATTGAGTCGAGTTGCTAAAATATGACCGGAGCTGAACTCGAGTGGAATCATTGACTCAAGTCTTTATGGGTGCACCACCCAATTTGGAAATTCTCAGCCAAGCCGATGCGCTCAAAAAGTACCCCCACAAATTCCTTCGAAAAGAGGGGTCTGTGTGGGCCACGAAACTGAGGGATTGTGTCAGTATGGCCAAGGATCATCTCTGTAGATTCGAGGTGACTCATCTGGGGGCAAAGCTAGCAGACAAAAGTGTGGTCAAAATCTATCAGAAGAGCCAGAGAACGGTGAGGGATGTCATTTGAAAAACGGCTAGTGAGAAGACTTGGGAACATTCACTTGGAGGGGGAGGAGTTCGTTTTGGGCGGGTAATTAAATTCATTGGTTAACCTACCAAAAATTGAAAATCAAATAAAATCTGAGGGACCAAAAAACACATTGTTTTTTGTTTGAGAAGCCTCAGGGACTTCAGTTGCCTGCTTTGGGGCTCCAATCTTTGTTGGTTTTACACTGTTTTCAATGCAGCTTGAATTAGTTCAGTGCACCCTTATAGCTAGCCCAGGAACTACATCCGGACTGTACTTGACCTCCGCAAGGAGGTTACTACAATTGTTTTTCCACGTGATGTCCTAGAATACATTGATATACATCCGCTGACTAAAATGCCGATAAGCGTTGACCAACTGATGATGAGTTGGAGAAGCTAGGGTTCTGGTTTGGATAAACCAGATATGAGCTTGGGGTTAGCCGGAAAATTATGCTTGAAGACGGCATAATAAGAATACGAGCCAGTGTGAAACAAAACAAAATATAGGAAAATATTTGCGAAATCATTTTAAAGGGCCAGAAAAAGGTTTAATGCATTCTTTACTTCTGTGTCTCATTTAAGTGAGACCAAGGCCGAATGGGCGCTCTTTAATTCAATTTTTGTTTATTGTTCAATTCTGCAAAACAACAAGAGGTATCAAGAGAGATTGAAATCATCATTTTATTATTTTCATTATTTTCATGAATTTTCAGCCAAGATTTATCACCAATTCAGTTCTCTTGTATGTCAGAAACTACGTTACGCCTTATGTTGTTTGTAATGTATCTGTTTAGTTGGTTTTATGGCCTTATATCTGTCTTTTGATACTTTTTGTTTTAGCTTAATTGATTTTGGTTATTTTAGCTGCCTAACAAGAGCAGCTATTTTGTAAAAAAATAATAAACACGCGCAAAACTCTATTGCTAATTTCTGCTTCGTCATATACATCTTCTTTATCAGTATCCACTCTTTTAATCGATATTTTCTCAATTACTCAAAGATCTGAGCTGATGAAAATGCCCATCAGCTTAATAATCTAAAAATACAAACTTGCCTTTCAAGGACAAAAAGAATTCTGCATCTGCTTCCCTGCAACCCAAAAGTAACAATTATTTCTCTCAAATTAATGGCCAGAAACACTTATTTTTGGTACCACGTTGAACTTAGGAGTGTTAAATTTTCGAAGTTGTGTTACGTAATTGAAAATTTATTTGCAACATAACATGAACCTGAAATGCAGTTATCAGGATAAAGTAGAAAACGTTATTAGTTTTATTTCATACCAAAATATTTACTTCTGAATCTTACTTTGAGAAGAAATTAATGTTTAAGTTTAAGGGGAGAGTTGCAACAAGTCATTGTGACAAAATGACTCGAGTCGAGTTGAGTCTGCTGGTAAAAACGTCGAGTCAAGTATTTCGCTTGGGTCAATTCGAGTCACAAATACTTGTATTTGAGCACAATACGAAAAATAAAAACAAGAGAGCAGGTCATTTCTTGCATTGTAAAATATGACGCTGGGTTATACTTCATTTGGTCACACACATGTTTCTCTTGATAATAATTCTAAAAAATGGAAACTTGTTCTCTTTTTGTTCTCATGCACTGTTACCAAATCATGCAAGTCATTTAAAAATGCTAGGCTTTTACGCATTATTTGTTTCACTATCATCATTCATGCCAACATTTTACAGGCTGTTCACACACTGCATGAGAGAGAGCCAAAGCCCAAACCGTCTGCCGAAAGAATTCGATAATAAGGGGCCAATATTGGATTTAAAATTCGCACAAAAGAATCGCTGAACTGTTGTATGCCCAAAGTCTAAATAATTTGGAAAAGTTTTTTAAATATGGTTTTCGCACCAACAGGCAACAGAGGCATCATGAAGTCTGTAAGCCCTCAGTACACGAGCCTCAATTTACCTTTTGAATAATCTAGGCATTGATTAAACGAAGCATATACGGTATCTGTTGGCTTGTATTATACTTACAGAAAACTCAAAGCAAACCAAGATATTCCACAGAGCAGAGCTGATAAATCCTGAGTAAACATGATAGCGTGTGGCGCTCCCTACCACCAATGCTGTGCGCAGTGTGTGCCTCTCAGCGTTCCGCGAATCGGCTTATTATTGTTGACCCAAGTTGCCTTTCACAGCAGTAAGACCAGGATACAGTGCCGGAAGTGCTTAACAATTTGGCATCAGCAACCACCGTGAAGTGCCTGGCTGGCCGGTCGCAAGTTGAATGGGAGACAGAAACGACAAGGTCCAATTAGGAATCAAAACTCAGTGCCTTTCTTGAAGTTCAGGTTAGTTCTTCGGCGTGCTCAAGTTAACTGTGGGCCTACTAAATCGATTTTTACGTATATATCTGATCATCTGATTCACTGAAACATGGTAAGACCATGGGCGGTAAGACTTAATTAAGGAGTGTAACGTTGATTCAGTACCGACTTTATACATGTACAGGTACATGTATCTTCCTTGACACACAGACTTTTCTTCGTTGAGTTCACTGTCTGACTGCGCAGCGCCGTGTGGAACACTAGACTTGCTATCAGTCCTCATATTGGGAATAATTATGGGAATCCTGCGGGTTAAGTGGAAATATTCTCATCCCTCTCTGCTCCCCTAACTGAGTGACTCTATCCCCAGTTTTCTATAGCGATTGGGCCAGCAAGAAGGGGGAAGGGGACTTACTGTTTTGTCACAGTTTGCTTGTCCTTAAGTTAAACCCACCAGTCTTTCCGTCACAAGACTACAGTTACAGGCTCGCGAGCACTCAGCAGCAGCGACAACTGAACAATGACAACGACAACATACAACAATCATGAAATGGATCACCCCCTGAGGGCCTGACAATCTCAAGCAGTACTGCACCGTTAACGATGGGCCAACAACCACGATCAGTGCCCCCCCCCCCATCTCTGTTTATTATACCTTGACCGGAAGGTTATCTTTCAATTTCGACCATAAAAGTGCAGTTACAGCTATGTTTCCTGTAGCCGAGTGTATTGTATACAGACAGTTGCAGTCTTCTCATAGTGTACCATTTTTTTTTTCAAAATTTGACGGGGTCAAAGTCTTTGAATTAAACTTGTCTGTTGGCTTTGATTCATTCCACGCTACAGAAAAATCCACCAATGTCAAAACATATGCCATGCAGCTATCAAAACACGACATAAGAATTACTACAGCAAACTACTTATTATTAAATGGAAACAGTGACTTGCATGTTTAGCACTAATGTAGCAACGTACATTTTGAGCAAAAAAATTGCTAAAAGAAAGACAATCCTCTTGTACAAAGGGAAGGCAGTAAAATGGGCTTTGCCAGGATTTGTTTTCGGGGGAGGAAGGAGTTTTATCGGGGGAAGGGGAGGGACTCTAATCATTCATCAATAGCAATCCGATTTACAGTACAAGCGATTCACAGTAGTGCGCCTCCAAGAGTTTACAACGAGTTGCCCAATTACAATGCACGAAATCTGCCGATCCAGCGCGCGTTTGGAAAGGGTCGACGGATTTCGCGCATCGATATTGGCCAACGCTTTGCACTGGAGGCGCACAATTGTGAATCGCCCGTATTAACAGAGGAAGCTTTTTTATCCCGCTTCCTCCCTTTTTCTTTTCTCTCAATTTTTCTTTTCATTTCTTTTCTGTTTTTATTTTTTTAATTAGTAGTAGTTTTTAAACAGTTTTTCTTTTTCCATTTTAACTTTTTCGGGGGTAGCACATCGTTGCACTTAGTTCCAACCCTACGGTACCAACAACACTAGTAAGGCATGGAATGGTAGAAAGGCCGGTAGATGTTCTTAGACCAGCCTTCGTAAATCCTTTGCGATTGTACATATAACAAAGATCTTTTGCCTGCCTGCATGCGCAGACCATGCTCATTTTCAGGGTTTTTGATTCTTTTGTTCGCCTTCAGCCGATAAGCGATCTGTAGACAAACATTTATTTTAAAAATTCAGTTGGCCAAATGACATGATGTTGAGTGCATTAATTGTCTCGTGCTTACTTTTAAGCTTACTTGCAAGCTTACTTGCCTCCTTTTAATTTGCTTATCTTTGACTTAATATCACCAGTCCACGGGTCTTGATCGGGTCCACTAGCAACTCTATGACGCGATAAGGCAAAATTGAAAAGTATTAGTGATGGGGGAGTATGACGTGTAAGGTGCTTGTGTAACAACAACGATAGCAAGAATAGAGGACCAATTTAAAAAAGTTGGTGCCAGCCTATAGAGTACTTCTGCAGGCCATCCTTCATGCGCCGATGGGGTAAGGTTTGAGTAAAAAGTGTTAGTTTCACCATGAAAAACGAGTCAGCTGATTGATGCATTGAAAATAAAGTGACGCAGAAATAATGCAGAGTCATTTCATCACGAATAATGGGATTAACCTATAGAGGGTTTACATGGCTGCCAGTTTGCAGGTAAGTGCTTTTGTTCCACAGGGTATACACAAGGGAGGTTTCCCTGTGATGAAACGAAAGAATTGCCTTGCATGATGGCTACCAAACAAAACTATTGGTTAAGAGATGACAAAGCGTTAGGGCTTATTTTGTGTACATCATGTGTAAACAAAGGCTGGTTTGGACTTTCAAAAATATCCCTTCCATCTTGTTCATACTATAGCTGCACATACACCAGCTAGAAAATGTAGGCTACATTGCAAACGCACTGCCCTTCTCCCATCCCTCTCCACGTGCTTTTGGGTATTTGTGACGGTCGGAGGTTTTGAAATTGCAATATCCGCATCCCCACGCTTGTACTTCGAATCGAGTCTACGCCCCCTGTGTAGAAGTTGCGGCGTTACACCTGTCATATTATCTGTAGCAGCCGTCATCTCCCTTTCTAACCAGCCATCACTTTCCTTTGTAAAAGGGTTTTAATTAAAGGAAGCCTCGCAAATGATGGTGCTCAATCTCAATTATTATGGTTTCAATCACTGTGATTTTTTTTCCAAATTTACACTTGGAAAATACGTTTTGCGACCGCTTGGAGTGTCTTTAGAAAAACAGTGTGTTTATCTGTAAACTTGGGGCAAGTTTGAGTGATATCTATCATGTCAGTTCCTGATTGATTTTCCCGGGAAACCGGTGGGAAAAACACTGGGTGCAAATCAACTGGTCGTTATGCGTACTGATGCTTGAACTTGCCCACAAAACTAGATGTTCGTTATGGCGCTCTCTATTGACGTGATATTTGCGAGGTCAAAGGTAAAAGCCGTGGCACGCGATCGCCACGGCGGCGAGTTCGATCAGATGTAAAGCACAGGCATGATATGATACCTGGGGCATGCATGTAGGGAGCAAAGGTCTCAGATCGAACTTTACCCTTTGTTGGTTCTGCAGGGGCCTGCCGAATTCATTCCCAAATCAGCAAGGTCTTTCGTCAAGTGTTGTCGGATCCCAGCATAACCGGTAACCTCAATGATTTATTCGAAATTGCAACATTATCATGACTCAGTGTAGGCCGACTCTCTAGTCAAGTTGACCATGCTATTACTAATTACATGAGCATGCATTGCATGAAGCTAGCGTGACAAGAGTGTTGGCACCTTGTCCTTGTGCCTTCATGGATAAGGCTGTTCCCATTTGCGTGGGTAGGTCTGGTTGAGCTTTGTACTTATTGTCACAGACTACGTATAACAAAAACTGCCCTCAATTGTTAATGTCAAAAGATATGACACATTTTGCAAGCCAGAAGGCATGATACGGATGGCCTCTAGTTTCAAAGGCGAAGTTTCTAACCCCTTCTCGGAGGGAATTTCTTTCCGAAAGCCGACTCCAAGAATTCCAGCCTCGCTTGGCCACGAAGGCCAACTGCCAAACAGCAAATTCTCGGTTTGTGGCCCAGCGTGCTCTGCACGCTTTGAATTAAACGGTGACTAAAAGGCCG